GCTCAAAGGTCTTTCAGAGGAAATGGCCCTGCACGTACATAAAATGGCCCTGTCCATGTAATATATTTTTAAACTTTTAGTTAAAAAAATATAAAAACTAAATAGCCTAGTATTTTTACAGTCTTTATTTTACAGTTAAAATAAATGTTTATCAAATAAAGTTTAATGTTACAACTAATCGTGGATCCCTTTAATCTTTAATCTATTTGTTGTATAACTTGTGTTGTCTGGAAATACAGCAGAGACCAGAGGTTTCAACACAAAAATGGTTGTGATTTCAACATCTGCTCAAAGGTCTTTCAGAGGAAATGGCCCTGCACACTCAGATCCATGGTTTCTACTCTGTAATAGAAGCAGGTGTCTTGTTAAAGTTGTGTAAACATGTCACCCACCTGTAGCAGTAGTTGGGGGCTGACCACACAGTGAGAACTGTCTCATTGAAGTGCCACTTATAGCCTTCCATCACCAGCTGGTGCGCTCGACAGATCATGTGGATGTCATTGGCAGCGTTAAACTGCGCCACCACGTCGCTCCCAAACAAGTAGCCTGCACCTCTGGGACTCACCCCCCACCCTGTGGTGTCTAAGAACAGAAAACAAAATTACTGCTGTGTGTTCAACTGGAATCCYAACATTACTGTGGATTTATCATGGATCATGACAAAAAAAAGGTGCAAATTAATGACAAACATCTGYAGATACCTTCAGGGTCTGACCACAAAAGGTCACACATGGGTCCATCGTGGGGAACTTCCTGTTTTCGGTCAATGGTCCTGATCTGGTCCAACGTCTGGATGGAAGGAGACAAACCACCGTGCACGCAGAAGATCTGAAAAACAGAAGAGCTAACAAATTAGGGTGATCAGATGGCCTTYTAGAAATCTCAAAGACTATATGTGACCCATCATATTGAAATGAGGATTAAATCTTTAAAAGTTACATTTTGATACCTGGATCGTTCTGATTTCATAATCTTATCCAGAGATATGACTTAATTGGTCTTGTTGGTTACGATAATACATTATTGTTTGGTCTAAATCCTAATTTTATGTAAATGTACTGAGTAATTTTTTTGTGTCAATATAAAGAGGAAACCTCAAATAGTTTAGTGTATTGTATCATATTTGCTACGCAGGATTCTATGACCTATATTTTATCAATGTGATCAATATTTTCCTCAAAAACCTGTTGTATATCATTTGAGACCTGTATTCTGCCCTCTAGTGGATTATCAATGTATTGCAGGAAGTGGGACTTCTTTTTTTTTGCCTTTTCAAAATGTCTGCTGACATGAGGTCATCCACACATTTTTTTTAGAAAAACTTTTGCTAATTTTGGAGAAGTTATGGTAAGAATAACATCAATATTGTTTGTATTTTTAAATAAATACTTTCTGTGTTGAAACAATGCATAATTACTTAAAAAAAATTTAATAGTACAGTTAAACCGTGTTTAAAATTTGTGTATCAAACTTGATACTGCAGGTATATAAGTTGCTCCAGTCCTGAATTGTCATGTGACATTTTAGTAATTTAATCAACAGTATTCTTGCCACAATAGAACCACATACAATTTTTGATGATTGATTAATTACTGAAATGCCATTTGAAAACACATTTTGGCTATTTTCAAAGTGGTTCCTTTGAAATTATAATCTCTACGATGTACTGACTAAATATTTACGTGTTAGATGTCAAAGAGAATTGAGCAAGAAGAGAGAGAAAAAAAGAAAGTAAGAAAATGTCATCAATTTGATAATAGATGGCAATTTTTTATAAAGTCTAAAGGTACATCTGTGCCTGAACAAGGACAGAAACTGTTTTTGTGCCTACCACGAAGTGAAATAAACGGATGTAAAAACTTCATTGTAAAAACAAAACAAAACAAAGAAGTAAACTTCCTAGAGTGTTCTAAACTTGTTAAAAGTTATGGGCAAAACTGTATTTTTTGTTTCTTAATTTAACTTTGTTGTGAGCAAAATGTTACCAAAACAGCCCAGTGTATCAGATTTGATACAAAAAATATATCATAAACAAAGTGATGTGGCAAAAAAAWTTTTGGATTTTGTTTAAATGCCCACTAAACATGTCAGTTCAAAAAAATGTCAATTTTCTGACTATTTTTTAAAGGGTTAGGCTTTAAAGGGTTAAGATTTCCCAGTTGAGAAGAAACAAAAACATTTCTAGCTCACAGGGAAAAGTTCCAAATTTTAAGGCGTTTTTCCTCAAAATCAGGTTTTTTGTTGCTACTGCTCAAAAAAATGCTTCAAATTTTTTTTTAGGATCATATGTCAGACAGTTCATTCAAATGATTCATTGAAACGGTATTAATTCATTATATTTTGACAAAATGCAATTTTTGCACACATTTAAATCAAAACTCTATATTTGCATATTTCTCCACATTCCACTTTTGGATTTAATCCTCGTTTCGATGTGACGGGTCACATATCGTGTAAATATTTAACAGTTATATTCAAAATGCAAGTGAAAAAAGAAAAAGACCAATATACGTCACCTTGCCATCAATGATCGCAGACAGGGACAGGTAGTCAAATATCTCTGTGCAGTACCTCCACACTGTGACGGAGCCATATTTGCGCAGACACTCGTCATAGAAGCCGTACACCTGGGTGATCTGACGAGACTCGTGGTTTCCTCGGATCAACGTTATTCTGTCTGGATAACGCACCTGAGGTAGAAACATGAATGAGAGAATTTCACTAAACATGCCATATGACAGATGAACACATTTACTGTAAGCCTTAGCAGAGCATAGATTTTTCTGTGTTYACGGGAGCAGCACTGTACTGACAAGGAGCTGACATTACATTTACCTTAAGAGCTAACAGCAGAAGAAAGGTCTCCACACTGTAGAAGCCYCGGTCCACAAAGTCACCCATGAAGAGGTAATTTGTCTCAGGAACGTCTCCACCGACCTATCACATGAAATGTTTCAAATTAACATAATGGTTTTATTACGCTGCACATTGATCGTTTTATTGTTAAGGATCCGAAAACAGAGTTTAAAATAGAACAGGCTCTTAAATGGCTTTCTAGATTTGTAAAGTTCAGCTCATCATACAATTTGTCTATGAATTTCTGAAAGCTCRTTTGCCTGATAGTGTTAGAAAAAGAGGAACAAAAAGTTCTGTGAGAACAATCAGGTGATTTTTCATGAAGACAATCAGTCATGTGAACATGTAACCAACAAACAGCTGTAGTGGGCTTTGATCTGTAAATACAGTTTCTGTCTGAACCCTTGAATGCAGAACTGGAAAACCTTTATCACAAAGACTCTTGCAACCGTCTTTAAAATGCTGACCACTGGTGGAGTTCATGTGTCACTTAAAGACACACCCTTCCCACTGACAGGCGAACAAACTGTGTCAAAGACAAGGGGGATTAACCTCAATGTTACGTAAAAAGAAACAAACTTACTCTGAAGAGCTCTTTCAGGTCATAGAACTGACCGTGTATATCACCACACACCTGAAAAACAAAAACAAACGATACAGTTAGCTGCTTTTCATTTAAGTCACTTTATGATTAACTACTCATTTATGTTACTTACTGTGACAGGAGAGTCTACTCTCTGGACATTGCTTTCTTCAACCAAAATCTCTCTGAAAATACAAACAGATATATAAATTAATGTTCCTGAAGTAAGGTAWTCTATTAAACAAAAGCTTGTGGCACAGAATAAATGAACTGCTGACATGTTTGTCATTTAGGTGGTGTAAAACTTTAACTACTCCATCAACCACTTGTGAGCAGTGATTAAAAACACAACAGCCCTTTAAGCTAATTTGGATGGTTGTAAGCATTTTGACCTGTTATATACTGTATTTATCTTTCAGTATCAAAGAAGAAACTGACATTCAATCAACGTTGTAAGAAACAGGATAATTTAATTGACAATGAGGAAGCATTATCTTACACTCACACACATGCAAACATAATCGGTCATTAAATATACAATGAAACAAAATCCCTGCTCCAGATAATTCAATGAGCGACAATCTTGTTCCATGTCAGGAGCTCAAACACCACTGAGGAGGGGAGAAAAGCAGCTTGTGTTTCATCTCCTGACATCTAGATTACAGGTGACCTTCTGGCCTCAGTAACCTGTGTGCCTTGCTCATCCACGATWTTCCACATCTCCAGATTGATCCATCGCACAAGAAGTGCAAAAATACTCCGGATATAAAAAGAATTAGGGACCCAACTTTCCAACACCTCCTCAGCACCACCATCATCTCGTGGTCCAGATCCGACTACAAATATCCAGGACACTTGGTTTACACAACAAGCCCCTGTTCTAGTGGGAAGGATGCCAGCCGGCCCACGAGTCTGGTACCTTTACAATCACCATTCCTGCTCACTTTCTCACTAAATAAAATTGTCAAGAGCCGCAAAATGTACTTAAAGCTAAAATAAAACACAACAATTCAAGGTTATATAAATAATGCATATAATAAACTGATGTTTGTCCAATCATAAAAGATTTGTAATGCAATGTCAACGGTTATTGAGATTTTTACATGTTTTAAAAACACCAAACTCACTTTCAAGGGGGGTCCAGGCCTCTCTTGAAAAAGAGATCTATGATCTCAATGGAATTTGTCTGGCTAAACAAAGGTTAATAAATAACAAAATAAAAGAGACACTTGTGCAGAACCCGTTTAACAACATCTAAACACCAAACTATGCAGAGATGCAASTCTTATCTATGTTTGTGGTAATTGTGTCCCACTTTGAAATAATAAAACAAGTGATTTGAGTAAAGAAAATGCCCGTTTGTTGAATATTTAATTTGTGACTGTAATAAAGTTCCTCTCATAAAGACAAAAACTACCTTAAATTTCATTCAGTTATCATCATATGCAGATCCAAAAAATCTTGGTAATATTAAAATGATTTATAATATTTTCTTTTTATGAACATACGTTTAATTCTAATTCTTTTCCATGTTAGTTTTGGTCAATGCTCCACAGACCTGTTASAGCGAAACTAAAAAGCCACAGGTTGCTGAATGCTGAGCAGAAAAAGACATTGCTATRGAGACAGGTCATAACAAGCAAACAACCCAGATTCAGATTTAGATTCATGAACACAGCACTCGGTTTTTTTCACTCTGCCAGCAGAATACCTTTCCAGCACTCTAAGCAGCTCCGGCTTCTGATTTCAAACAACTCCGATCATATCACAGCACACATAAAAAAAATATTCACAAACACTAGAGCTTCATCTCTGCATGGCACCACTTTCAAACCACTTAGCTCTTTTATTACACTGCTCAAAAAATAAAGGGAACACTTAAACAACGCACGCTAAGTCCAAGTAAATCAAACTTTTGTGAAGCACATTCAACTCTGTACAGAACAAAGTACTCAATGCGAATATTTCATTGATTAAGATCGGGAGTTAGCATGCGTTGTTTAAGTGTTCCCTTTATTTTTTTGAGCAGTGTATATATATATAGCCGTAAAGCTTGATATTCTATTCTATTTAYTTATATTCTACTTATGAAACTTCTTAGAGCGGAATTTTAGACTTAAGTGCTTAGGATGTACTCTTTCTCTCAGACTTAAGTGTAAATGCCAGTTATCAAAAATCTTAAGACKAAGAATCACTTTCTCCTGAATATTTAGGACAACTCCAGTGGTCTCTTAAATGGTTAAGAGTTGCCACTAGGGGGTCTGCGATGGACTGAGAAGACAGATCACAGCTGTCCTCCTCAAGAATACTCTACACCAAGTGGGCCAGGGTTCCACCACCTGAGTGGGATTCTGTTATAATTCACAGAGTAACTAAAATAAGATAAAAATAGTTTTAGTTATRCAATAAAAAAGGAGGGGAAAAAAACTATTACACATACCAGTGTGCATATTGTTGGACTTGAAGGCAGCTTTTGGAGAGAATATAACTTTTTTTTTTCAGTCAGATGGTGAGTAAATGCAGACCACGAGATGCAGTCAAAAGTCTTGAAATGTTTTTTCTTGCTCGAACTAGTCAAGGTGGGATCAAACTTTTCTTTTAATTTCTTTCTTTAACTCAACCTTCATGAAATCTGTAAATTTCATTTAAAAAAATCCATTACTTTCACACCATACAAAGAATGAAGCGGGGGATTGTGGGCGTCTCGTACAGAATAACAAAGCAGTTTGTGTGTGTGTGTGTGTGTGTGAAGGGGGCGTTGTCTGTGGGCAGTTTAGTGGAGACACGAGGAGTTGGGCGCAAACTCAACATTTCCTCAGACTGAGATGTTTAAAAAAAAACTGGAGACTGACACTGTCCTACACTTCACTAAAGTGAGACTGATTCACATGATAACTGATTTTTAATCCCAGCATTGAGGCAAGAATATTTTTTACTTACAGTAAGTCCATTCTTAACAGCATTCTTGTTTGATAAACACAGGCCCAGGTTTCTAATATTCTACACTGGCACATTTTACAACTAAAAAAAACCCAGTTTTATGTTTTAGAAACCAAGATAGTGTATTAAAAACTTACTTCAAACATAAAAAACTTAAACAAGATGTCCTTAAATGTGTTTTTTAAATAAATTAAAAAAAGGACGACACAAAAACAATACACTGATCCTCGACGTTGGTTTGATGCCATCTGTCACGTGAGTTCAACCTCCGTATATATGTGGGGTAAAATAGTGCTGTTCAGATCAACAGTTTGTTGGATAGTAATGTAAAATATTGTGTGTATCACACTTATTTATATAAATATTTAGGAATGCTGTACGGATATGAGGAGAACTTCCCTGATGCACGACAGCGGTATAGTATGTTACATAATCGATTCACATGACCTATTTAAAATTACTCTACCTGGAAAGACACAGCCTCTCTGAGATACTCTSTTACAATATGTATCAAAAGTATAGACTTTAAACTACACATCAGTTTTTAAATTGTGTAGAAAAGCAACATAAAACCAGTTATGATCAGTAGTATCCACAACATTTTTTTTTGTTGCTGAAAATGATTGTCCTTTTTGATGGATGTTGCAACAGTGGGCTGCAGGAAACATGATAATCTCATGGAAAAAACACAGCAATCCACCGTCTGTTTCATCTTTCTCTTGAACCGAAAAAAATATAACTCCCCAGACCTTCTTTCTGACCGAAGCCCAAAGTTATTTGACAAGCAGTAAAAAATCTATAGGAAAAAGAAAATAAAAGGACCCAAAAGTTAAATAGAGTTTGGTGGTGACGGAAAGACAGCAAGAGCAGGACTGAGTTCAGTGTTTTGTCATTAGTTTACTCAGTTTTTGTGTGTTCTGAATCAAAACAATGAGGTTTTTTAAATTTATATACAGTATACGAGGAGCAGCACTTGGAGTTCTGCAGAGGGCAGAACGACAACATGCCCACCTGGTCGTAACATTTTTCCTTTCTCGCCCCTGCATTCGGAAAAACAAAATATTTTCCTCTGAATGTTTTTTAATGCGAGCAGAGCAGTGCAGTCCTTTACAGCAACAGCAATAGTATGAGGTGGGAGTTCGTAAATTTATTTACTTCTTCCTACTCGTTTTCGAACATGTTAAGATTACTATTGCTGCAAAATATATGTACTTTGCACTCAATATGTTCAAGTATGGCTGTTATTTTATACTGCTATCATGTTTGAAATAAATTTGATTGATTGAACTTTTCACCAGTTTTCTCCACAGAGGAACTCCTTCTATTTTCCCCTAAATAAAAAAAGTCAGCCTCAGTCTATAACACGACCATGTGTCAAAGTACCTGGCTGTCTAACTTTGAGAATGCTAGGATACCTATTTGGGGGCTCTAATGTACACACAGACATGTCATCAATTCCTCACAGACACTCAGACACAAACTTTGGGGCAATTTAGAGTGTCCGATTAGCTGAACTGATGTTTTTTTAACCATACCTGGAGATGTCTCCCATCAGTAAGCAAAGAGCGTGGCATTTGTTCTACAAATAGAACATGCAAAATCCACACAGTAAGATTACATTCAACTTTTTAATAATGTTAACTTAGCTGTTTATAACTAATGTTATTGTTGCTACAAAATAACTGTTATTACACAGGTTTGATGATAAATGTACTTTGATAACTGCGTGCATATGCAGTAAAAACTGATATACAACGGTGCATCATACAATTTGAGATAAAACTCTACAATGAAGTGTCATCTGTGGTTGAAAGGAGGTAAAGTAATTATTACCTGGCTTTGGCACACAGTGCTTTGACTTCATTTTCCTTGATGAGTTCACAGCGTCTGAGCTGCTCTATTTGACGGTCCAGGTCACTGATGTCCCCCATTGTCACGCACATAGAAAAATCTGTTCACACCAACTATAACCGCACTCTGCTGACCCACAGGAGTCTCTGGTTTTCTTGCTCTTTTTCCCTCTCRACAGTGGCCACAACGGAGTAGTCGACAGGACCCCTGGACTTCAAGGAGTTTCAGTGGTGTTCAGTCTGTGAAGAAACAAAAATTCAACAGAACTAAAACAAGTAGCTACACATCGTGTTAGCATTTACTGACTTGAATCTGAACCTTAATTTAATTTCCAAGTGCATCTACAAAAGTCGTGACGAGAAACGAACTTATTAATAACAGGGAACTGACGTTTTTTGTCAGAAATATTAGGCCTAGGAGCGTAGTTTAACGTAAGCTAACTATTAGCATGTTAGCTTACATCACAGCAAACGACGTCATAGTAGAACAACTGATTCTTGACAACTTAGCCAACCATTTTGTTCTCTTGAAAGCTAGGCGAATCTGCCCAATTCAGTCCGAACACCAACAAATATATTTGGTAGCATTGCAAACTACTTACACTATGTTTAAGTTAGCTGACAACATGTTGTAGATTAGTGGCTTTTGCCCTGCCGGGGCCCGTGGTTAGCTAACTTCATACGGCGTCAACGCCACTTAGCTCCGCTTAGCTAACTTTGTTAGCATGCTAGCCTGCTACGCTAGAATCAAATCAAACCACACGCTTTACTTGTAAACTGACGAAACATCGGAGAGCAATTACCGTGTCAGCAGGCGTGTGACTAACAATCGTCAAAGTTTCATCCCGCAGACCGTTGGTTCTATCGTTCGCCGGCTCCTCTCTCTGCCCCCCCGGTGCCTCTGCCGGTTCAGTCCTGCTGTTCGACAGACTCTGCGGTCACTTCCGGTGAGGGAGACGCGCGTCGCCCCCGCCTTCAACTCGGCCTCTGCGTCACATTCTGGCACAGGAGCGACATCAGAGTGGGAACTTCAGAGAGGAGGCTGAAATAAATACAGTTAATCCTCGATGAATGTTATAAACACTTACACATCACTAGTTTAAAAGATCAGACCTTTACTGGTTGTAATTTTAAATAGCAAAATAATTTATTTGGAAATGTATAAAATCTACAAAAACAGGCAGATCATAAATGACTCTAGGGAATTGTTTTTTACATAAAAGCTTTATTTTCATTTGTGACAATCTGTTCATAGGAAAGACATTGCATCATTTACAGAGAAGCACAAAAGGGAGCAGTGTTGTATAAACCAGTGTTTCCCAAAGTTGGGGTCGGGACCCAAAGTGGGGTCCTGAAACATCAAAGTGGGGTCCTGAAAAGATTTTCTGAATTAATTACATTTTTGCCTTAGTTGGTACAAAGGAGTGATGTTAGTGTATTTAAAATGAATAAATGTAGTATAAAAATATTGTTACTATGCCCGTGCTCTGTTGACCTGATACAAATGTTTATCATCCAAAAATAGTTGTGGGCACAGGTCTCTGCTACTGTTATTTTGTGGGTCAAAAGCTGAAAAGTTTGGGAACCAGTGCACTTTGGTTCCCAAAGTTGGACTTGGGACCCAATTATGGGTCATGAAGCACCTTGGATAATCTCCAGAAATCAATTTAAAGGATAATAAAATAATTGCTGATGTAATATTTTCCAACTAATTATCACAAAAACACAAAATAAGTAAAGATAAGTATTTATATTTGTGKAMAAGCTGTTTARATTGTCAAAAAGCCTGTGTTTTTAGGGTTATTAACRAAGTTYRTGTACTCAGACCAGTAATATTTGGGGTCACAAGTTTTTGCCATGGATATTTTGTGGGTCAGAAGATAAAAAGTTTGGGAACCACTGGTATAAAGTACTTCAAAGTGATACTTGACTAAAAGTACAAGTATCTTGTCATAAAAATACTTTGGTAAAAGTTAGTCTTCTCTAAAAATATTACTTGAGTAAAAGTCTTAAAGTATCTGATATTTTTTGTATTATCAAAAGTAAATTTCTGACATAAAATCTACTTAAGTATTAAAAGTACTGAGTAAAAGTGAGCAGTTAGATTTTCCAAAATGACATTTATTGGGAGGTGACTTCTCAAAAAAAATTTCTAATGGCGTGCAGCTGTGATGGGCTGTGTACAAGCTAATAGGGTGTCAGAATGGTATATATTTATACTTCTCATCCAACCACAAATAAATTCACTCTATCCAGGAGACACAATTTATCAGGATAGTATTTTTTTTAAGTAATAACTCGGAATAAAATGGGAGTAACGACTTTCTACTTACCTTTTTAAAAATATAGTGAGTAGAAAGAACAGATAATTGTGTAAAAATGTAATGAGTAAAAGTAAAAAGTACGCTGAAAAATAATTACTCAAGTAAAGTACAGATACCCCAAATTTCTACTTAAGTGCGGTAACAAAGTATTTGTACCTAGTTACTTTACAACTCTGAATGGGAGAATAAAATGACCTTTGTTTAAATTCCTCTTTTGTAACTACTGTCTGAAATAAAGCTGTCGTAGTTGACGTTGAATTATTTCGCAAACTGAAAGATTATAAAATTCCAAAATGTGAGCCTAGGAATGTCAAAACCCCGTCTTTAATTTATGTAAAAAAATCTGATCGCACAATCACAAAGACAAGCAACGTATAAAATCATAAAGTTTTTAGATACAAACTGCTCACCCGTAACAGCTTGTATCAAGAAATACATGTTCAGCTGATAATTCTACATAAAACTTTTTAAAAAGTCCACATGAACACGGTTATTCTGAGACACAGTCAGAGGTTAACTCGTTTCATTTTAAGTACTATTTTAACTCAAGTAGAATAAAAAGTTTACAACAGGACAAGCAGAATTCTGTATTTGGTCCAGTTGTTAATTGTTAACAGACATAATTATTTGCCATACATCATGCGACCACCTCTAATGTTGCTGGTTTCATSCACGATAAAAAGACGTGTGGATGTGTTCTTGCCGTTTGCGCCTCCTGCAGCTCAGGCTGTGGGCTTCGTCACAATGAACAGAAGGCTGTGTGGACAGGAAAAGCAACAAGTCCTGCCAGAGCGATGCCCAGACTGTCTCCTACGCTGGCCGTCGCCATGGCAAACTCTCTGTGTCTGCCTTCAGTCTGTGTTCCAGAGAAGACATCAGGATGAACACAAGTAAAAGTCTTACTGAAATATTACACAGAAATATTAGAAACATAAAATCAAAGCAATGATTAATACAAAAACCCAACTRTAAAACAGCTCAGGCATGGATTAAAAAGGTAAATACAACAGAATGCAATGATTTACAAATTTCATAAACCTATTATTTATTTACAATAAAGCCAAGAAAATATGCTAAATGAGTAAACTGCAAAACTGTATATTTAGGAAAAATAGGTCAGTTTAGTTTTTTATGGCAGCAACACATCTTAAGAATGTTGAGACAGAGGCAACAAAAGGCAGTTCAAATTAAGAAGCAGCTAAAAAAATATTTTGCAGAAATTTAACAAGTATTTAAAAGTGATGTCATATCCTCCTCCTGTTATCGGGGCACAAAAGCCTACATGCCACGGTCATTAATGAYGTATTTCCRGTAAAATTCTTGCCACGCTCCTCCCTTCCACTCCCTGCTTACTGCCTTTGTTTTTAGCATTAGCTGCTCCTAGTATTTGTTCGTGAAAAAGTCACAAAAGTTAAAGCATCTGTGATCTACTGGTATAAAACGTGAGTTCTGTTGTGTGCCGTTGTGGCCACTAAGCAGCAGGTACGATCGAGTTGTTAGTTTTTATCCATTTTCCTTTTGATGAGGAGGTGACAGCTGTGGAGCATTACAGGAAAAACTTATCTTTAAAAGCTCACGCTTGCGTTTGTAATCAGCATTTCTAACCTGAGGATATTCAAGAGTCAGAATCAGAAATAAGAAGATGGAGGTTACAAAAGGGAAATGTACATTTATCCYCTTTTACTGCCAAGACCGGGAGAGGAAAGACCACCTCCACACGACAGCTAGCAGGAAGCTAACACAGCAGCCGGTACAAAGGTAGGTGTATAGGTGTGCACACGTTTGTGTTATACAGTGTATGAAATGTTTTTATGCGACTTTGTCATGAGTTTTATGCACAAGTAAAAACTTGTTAGAGTGTATATTACAGCGTAGACTAAAGCCAAGTGACGAGCGCGCCCCCCTCCTCCCCCGAGCACCGAGAGCAGCAGAACCTCCGCCTGATAATCATTACGTTTTCAGTTCGCAACGTCGGGGAAAACGATCCAAACCATACAAGTAGCCCATCAGTTTAAAGCCCAGACTCTGCTCTTTCCAACAATATAAGTGTCACAGCTCTACGTGAAAAATTCACAGAACAAGCAGCCAAGGAATAGTGAAAAAGGCTAAATTCTGGAACCATAAACACGAACGTCTTTCCTTTGTTTTTATGTCTTTAATCCACTTTGGAGTGATTTTTTTCTCCACTTGGCTGGACCTGTACGTCTCCTGTGTAAACGTTGGTACATGTAATATGTTAATTCTGTACTGTGGAGATCATTAAGAGTCGTTGTCGGGTGAAAAAATCTTTCGCTAACACTGTGTTGACAGCGAACCGGAAGTGTCGGGAGTGGCATCAAGTGCTGGACCGGATGTCCGTGGCATATAGRCAATTGAAAAGCATGCCTCTCTGATTGTATGGTGGTGCAATAGTGTCTCTGAAATGGGCTGCTCCCACATCTGGAAAGCCAACATCAATGCATCAGACAGAGGAGAACTGGTCCTCTCAGTTCCTGGATGTATACAGACTGATGTTAAAAGACACAATGAACCTGTAAACTGACGTGTTGCTGGTGTCAGATTCAAAGTGGCCTTATTTTACCTTTTAAAAAGTAATAATTTCATAGTTTAATCATTTGAAATGTTAACTACTGTATATTGCACTGTAAAAGAAACTGGATTCATGAAATTTGCAGGTCACTGCACTCTGATTGTACAGTATTTGCATTTTGCCCAAACGTCCCAGCTTTTTCAGATTTGAGGTTGCACAATATTCTGTATAAAGCAGGAAGTTTGTCCCATCAGACATTTATTCTTTCCCATGTCGAAACAAATAAAACCACCTGAGAGAAAGACGGTGTTACCTCCTTGCTGATGAAGTGGAAAGTGTTCACATACGCAGCTCCGCCCAGCAGACCCTCATAGAAAATGATGCAAAAAACCAACCAGACAGAAGGAAGGAACTGGAACCATACAGCAAACAGCAGGAAGRTGGCGTTTATTACCTGTGATGGGCAGAGGGAAGCGTGAGACATAGGTGTTTAAAAGACATAATCTTCAAAAGTACAAACGTTTTGTCAAAAAAAAAATACAATCTATTAAGGCATTTGTTATATAAAAAGCAAGTGTTGCTGAAATTTTACAACATGAATATTAACCTATGTATTAATAAGACACTCGTCACTTTATTTAAACAAAAAAAGGTATAATTTTCAGTGAAGTTCTTTTTGACTCATTATTTTGGGAGTGAATTATTTTTTATGTCTCTCACTGTTGCTGCTCTYGAGCTGAAAGCTAACCTTTACCAGATGAAGCCCTGCAGGTTAAACCTTTGCCAATTTGATTTGTTTCTCACCTGAAGGATGGAAAAAACCCACAGTTTCCTGATCTTCACCCAGCAGAGGGACGATCGAGACACAAACACACCAATCTGGTACACAGTCTGGAACCTGAGCACACACAGCGGACTCAGAAAAACTCWGAAATGATCAGAAACATGGGGTTTCTTCAGAACAACTGGTTGTAACGTTAACTAACCAGCGATACTGCTCTGCGTGGGACAGGAAAATGTTGCGAAAAAACAGGAGTTCCATCTAAAAGAGAAGAAATGTAAAGAAATGTATATTTTAGAAGGCTGCAGTAATGTTATSGAACAGCTCACTCACACAGCTTCATTTAACCTGTGAGGGCAGAACTCACCAAGCCCTGGTTGATGAAGTATTCAGCAAAGTAGACGACTCCCAGAAAAATCACAAACCACACTAAGCTCTGCTCACAGGAATCATGATCAGCAATAATGTGAACAGAGAAACACATAAAATAAAAATAACAGTACTTACTTTGATGACGTCCCATTTCTCCCCACAGGTAAGAGATCCCACACTTAGGTCAACTGTTAAATTGAAAGAGAGAGCACAGATTTTATGGATATTCAATAACAAACCTGTGAATTTAAACTAGAGATCATTTCACTGTGAGACACAGTGCAGAGGAAACCTGCAGCTTTAATCTTCTGGATCGATTTGCCTTGTAATGTTAAACATCATTCACTCAAACAGCAAACAAAACCTTTTAAAGTGCCTGTGACATAAATMTTTTGCACTAAATATGAATGCATATTTAGAAAGATAATACTGATAAAATATTGCAAAAAAAAATTTCACGCTGCTGAGATGAACGGCTGTTAAGATATTTGCATGTGCAGTGACAGGAAGTGATGTCAAAGGGGACTGTCTGCATGTGAGCAGAGTGTTGCTATAGCTGACAACACAGACTGTAGAGAAGAATCTGATGTTTCTTTAGATTACTTTGAGTCTATCAGAGAGACGAAGAAGAGCCAGAGATCAAATAATATTGTTTTAATAAACAAAAAACTGTTTTCTTTCCCCTTTGGTGTCACTTCCTGTTTCACGTTGGCTGGGCCAAGCTCAAAAGAAAATAGGCCAAATATGTGACAAAATGGGTAAAATCGTGTGTTTTGTGTCAAGTTCCTTAAATATAAAGATGCTTTGTTTTTCTTTCTTTTGTATTTGAAGGAYGTGCATGTCACAGRCACTTTCAGAGCAACCTCACCTATTTAAACAATCTAAAATATACAGTATAGTGTTTATTTAATGTCTGTGTCACTGAAGTCCAGGTAAGGCCACAGACTGGAARCAGGAGGTAACATGTCACATAATCAAAAAATTAAAGAAAAATAACAAAAACCTACAAGTTACCAAATATTCATATTAAAAATGAAGTACTATAATTTACTACAAATCAGGACAATAAAATAATTAAAATAAACTCATCTAGTTCTCACTAAAACTCAAAATTAGGTTAAAAAACACTAATCACTGAATGTGCCATAGTGCACAGTGTTATTAGTTATTAAAAAAATAAATTAAATATAGGTTCAGCAGCCTGTAAAACTAGCTGTACAACAACAACTCTTCTTTACAACATTGCTGAAGTTAATAGAGGCTTTCAGCTGTTTATTTCTGATAAAGTCTCACTGCAGCCTTTAAATCAGKTTGATACGCAACACCTTGATTATTTTCTGTCTTGTTGAATTAGATTAGCTGCAGTGTTTGTGTTGTTCTGTTAGACACAGTTTGGTCCGATCTTCAGCKGTTGGACTGATGGAAGCCTTTGGTCTACAGAGGAGTTCCTGGTCCACTCAGTGACTGCAAGGAGCCCGAACCATCAGCCCYCCAYCTCCGTGCTGACAGCTGGTATGAAGTGTTGGAGCTGATTCAGCGTTCAGTTTTCTCTAAACATTCTGCAGTGAATTATGGGTAAAAACCTGTGACCAAAGGACTTTGTTCTAGATGACTTGTGCCACATTCAGATGGACAATCCTAGGTCTTGATGGWGCTTTTTGAGAGAAGAGGATTTGTCCTTTAAACCTTCCAAACAAGTCTTACTTGTTCAGTTTTTTCCCAACTGTCCTGCCATAACCTTTAACCTTTAACCCTGTTCTGTCCTTCAGGCATTTCAGTTAGGTGTGGTTCACAATTTTTTTACATTTTCACATGTGTACAAACCATATGCTTTTCAAAATGAAAAAATGTTGAACGTTGTTTTCATTTCATTCTGTATAAGCACCATGTTGCTTATACAAATACTGACACACTGCTGGACAACACACACATTAGTTATGCACGATTAACAGCACCGGTCTTCATTCAATACAAACGCACAAGAGCTGTGTGTTACTGGTGCCAGGTCACACACATAAGACATATTTACATATTTAAATGGAGGCGTGTCAGGATGTGTGATGTGTTCCACAGTTGTATGAAGGACAGGAGCACAGAAACGTCTGCATGATTGTTTAAATGTGAATATTTTTGTGGGTACGCATGGTTCACATTTGRTCCCTGCGTCAACTTTCAGTATGAAACCTGCACTATACCTGCGATCCTCAGTGACTTTTAGACMATTCAGTTTTGGAATTCATGAACTTCCAATAAACCCTGATTATCTTGATACTGTAGACGTGGTATTTTATCCATGTGTTGGATGTGTTTTTGACATTTTTAGGCTTTTTTTGCCACTTTATAGACAATGTTTGATGCTTTGTWCATTTTAAAGACTTTAAAAACCAGTGTTCAATCATTTATATCATTCCGTCATAGTGGTGTTTCATGAWGTTATGTTTAAGGCCCTTTCACACTATTATGTCTTAGACAACTTATGAAGTTTTTTTAGTCTAAATTTCTGATTGAAGTCATATCACTGGGGTTCTATCAGTCTGTTACAGTATGTACATGTCTAAAAGAGGCTTCCAGTTGATTTTTTTAAATTCCATCTTCAACGTAAACGTCTTTAAAATTGCATTTAAAATTGGCCTTATAAGTTGTCTAAAACATTTTGTTTACTGGGCCCATTGCTTTTCCTATTATACATAAATGACCTTCCAAAAATATTGAAGTATTCAAATRTTTTAATGTATGCTGATGATACTGTTCTTTTTTTTGTCTGATTTCAATATTGAATCTATTAATAGTCAGTTACAAGCAGATCTTCAGACATTTCATGGTTGGCTTCAAGATAATCTTTTGTCAATAATGTTAAAAAAACTGTGTGCATGTATTTTTCCTCACCCAGGAGACATTTCAATATAACAAATCAACTCACTTTTTTAAACAAACCCCTTGATATTGTCACTATACCTACAAATATCTTGGAATTACTTTGGATTCTCATTTGACTTATCGTGATCATGTACAGGTCTTAACCACTAAGTTGAAACAGAAATTATACTTTATTCAAAAATTAGATCCAATCTGACATCTTCTGTTTCAAATATCYATCTTCATGCCATTATACTCTCAACTATGTCTTACTGTTTACCTGTTTGGTCTCTTACAACAAATGAAATCTTAGAACCCATAGTTTGGCTCTACAACAGGGCCCACAAAATTCATAAAAAACTTACTGGTTGGACTCATCACTGTACAGTTCTTTCATTGTCTGATGCCTTGACTTTTCAGAATTATGTTTTGTATAGTGGTATTA